GCAATCCACTCACCTCAGCCTCCCAAAGGCGCGGGATTACCGGCTGAGCCACCGAGCCTGGTTTATGATATCAATCTTAATCACCCATTTCATTTACCTGATTTGTTTCTAGGTGAATCTTAACTATCTCCAAAAAGAAAATCCATCCTCAAAAGATGCACGTAATTTATCACCACAGATGTTTCATAGAAACCAGGCGCGGTGGCTCAAATCTGTAATCCCAGCACTTTTAGGAAGCCAAGGTGAGAGAAATGACTGAGCTCAGGGGTTTAAGACCAGCCCGCCCAACTTGGTGAGATCTCGTCTTGACAATAAATCAAAAAATAAGCAGGGCATGGTAGCGCGCACCTGTAGTTCCAGCTACTTGGAAGGCTGAGGCAGAAGGATCTCCTGAGCCCAGAAGGTCAAGGCAGTGGTAGCTGTGAGTGTGCCACTGCACTCCAGCCTGGGTGACAGAGTGAAACTCCAACTCAAAAAAAAAAAAGTGCTGTGGCCACCCAAAATCAGTTCTAAGAAGTTTTTGAGCAATGACAGAATTAGTCAAGCATAGTACCTCCCCCTGAGCCTACCTTGATGGAAAGTTTTCAGAGATAAACATCCTGGTATCTTTGTTTAAAAATCACTTTCACTACTTCTGTCATGCCCATGGGACTGATTTGAAGAATTTGAAGTCATGGTTAAAGTTAGGGCCTGAAATTGATTGCACTGAATTAGAGAAGAGTTATGCGTAGGTCTTTTGTTCAGTCTATACTTTGAACTGTATATTTGTTCAGAAGACATTGGTTAGTGGTATGTTTTTGTTCTGCTCCCAACTCTCAGAGAAGCAGATGAACAGACTAACTTATTATTGAAGCTGCCAGAGGTAGTACATCAGTGAAAGTCAACATGCACTCTGACAAAGTCTTCCTAAAGAGTGCCTTCCTAAAGCCAGGCACTATTCAAGAAAAATCAGTCCATCTTGCTGCTCTCTGAAAAGGAACAATGTTAGGCCAGTATCTAGAGACTCCTATTAGAATACAAAGGGAACCCAGAAAATCCCAGAATTATCTTTTTTGGAGGGTGGGCCCCTTGTAGTACAGGCTTCCTCTACTAGGTAAGTGTTCTAGAAATCCATTGGCACCAGCGTACCAGCTACTATTGTTGTGAGAGGCTGTGGTTGATTTCAGTGATTTTTTTTTTTGAGATTCTTTTAATTTGTTTTCCCATTTCATGATGGGTGATTTATGAGCACACCTGCCCACTCCATGCTGTGTTCAGCAGTTTTGACCAAAACAGCATGACTCCCGTGCCCCACCCTCCCTAGTCATCCTTGCCCTGAGTGGATTTTTGTGTTTTCCCGGCTGAAAAAGTCCTCAAGGGAAACATTTTGCCAACGTGGACAAGGTGAAACAAAAAATAATAGATCTGAAAGGCATCAAAATGGATGAGTTCAAAAACTGTTCTGAGCAGTGGAAAAAGCGTCTTGATAGGTGTATTTCATCAAACTGACAGTACCTTGAAGGTAACTGAAGTTTAAACATGTAAGAATAAATACACAATTTTTTATTTAAAAAAAATTCTTTTGAGATCTCCCCTCGCAATCTGTATTGCCACTGTAAAATTGGAATATAGGGATGGTTTTCTCCTTTTTTCTCTGGAGACCTGGCCTCACTCTGCCACCTAGGCTGGAGTGCAGTGATTCAATCATAGCTCACTGCAGCCTCTACCTCCTAGACTTAAGTGATCCTCTCCCCTCAGCCTGTAGCCAGGACTACAGATACATACCACAACACCTGGCTAATTTTTTATTTTTTGTGGAGATATGGTCTTGCTATGTTGCCCAGACTGGTCTTGAATTTCTGGGCTCAAGTGATTCTCCTGCCTCAGCCTTCCAAAGTGCTGGGATTACAGGTATGAGTCACCACTCCCAGTCCCAAACAACATTGAATGAAAGTGCATATACTCTTACACTTTGGGGGTTATAAAATACGTTGTGACTGTTGGGACGTGTGGAACAATGCACAGTGAGCACGAAGGAATCCTCAGAGAGTTTTTTAAAAAGTCCTTAAACTGACTGAGTGATGGTTCATGCCTGTAATCCCAGCACGTTGGGAGGCTGAGGCAGGAGGATTGCTTGAGCCCAGGACTTCAAGACCAGCCTAGGCAACATAGTGAGGCCTTGTCACTACAAGAAAAACAGCAAAAACAAAAATTAACTGGGCATGGTGGCATGCACCTGTAGTCCCAGCTACTCAGGAGGCCAAGGTAGAAGGATTGCCGGAGTTCAGGAGGTCGAGGTTGCAATGAGCTATGATTGTGCCACTGAACTGCAGTCTGAGTGTCAGAGTAAGACTCTAACTCAAGAATAAATAGCCGGGCTCGGTGGCTCAGCCTGTAATCCTGCACTTTGGGAGGCTGAGGTGAGTGGATTACCTGAGCCCGCAGGTTTGAGACCCGCCTGGGCAGCTTGGCGAGACCTCATCTCTACAATAAATCAAAAAATCAGCCGGGCATGGTAGTGCATGCTTGTAGTTCCAGCTACTAGAAGGCTGAGGCAGAAGGATCACTGGAGCCCAGCAGATCGAGGCTGCAGTGGCTGGGAGCGGCCACTGCACTCCAGTCTGGGTGACAGAGTGAGACTCCAACTCAAAAAAAAAAAAGAATAAATAAATAAATAAATAGTCCTTAAGTTTAGGATGAATAATCTAACCTTATTTCCCAGGAGCTGAGAAGTCTTCATCAAGCATTTACTGCTCTGAGGAGCCACCATCCGTTTCACAACTCAGGGACAGAAAGAAGAGAAGATGAGAGACAGCTGGAAATCTTTGCTGAAAGTCCTTGGCTCCATGGAGTGTCAATGCCAAGTTGCTGTTGATGACAAGGCAGTGGGCACTCATGATTCTTTTTGCAAGTACAGGCAGTCCCCAACATACAAACAAGTTTCGTTCTGAGAGGGCATTTTGTAAGTCCAAATTGTTTTAAGTCGAACGAGGTTAGCCTAGGTACCCTACTAACACGATTGACTATGTGGTACTTCATGTATTTAACGAGCTATACTGATACCTGGTGGAGAGAAATAATACATTAAAAAACACAGGTGTGCATTGTCAAAGTTCCTAACTTGAAGGTTTGTATGTAGGGGACTTACTATACTGCACCTTTTCATTAATACCCTATTTCAATGTTAACTGTTAGGGTCTGAGATCAACTCCCATGAATCCTCAGTTTCTCCCTCTACCTATCCAGGGTCTTAGAGGGCAGAGATGACACCCCTTACTCAAGTATCACTCTGTACCCCAGAGCCTCAGGCACCACCTGTGTGTAGATGACTCACAAATCTCTGACATTTCATTAATTCTTTTGATGGTTTGTTCATTCCCTCATTCATTTGTTCATCCATTTGTAAATATCTTTAAAAACAATAGAGATGGGATCTCACTATTTTGCATAGGCTGGTCTTGAACTCCTGGCCTCAAACAATCCTCCTGCCTTGACCTACCAAAGTGCTAGGATTGTAGGCATGAGCCACCATGCCTGACCAATAAACATCTTTTTATCTGAACACCAATGAGACAGCGCAGGTTGGGCACCAAAAGTTCAGAGGAGGAGGTCAGTGTGGAACATTGCGGTGAGGGGGATCAGTAGTTTCTCTGGTTTAGCCCCCTCCGAATCCTTAGCAGCTCCTCAGAGACCCTGGTTCACAGAAGGTGGTCAGTGAATACCCGCTGGGTTACAATCCTTCAGTAATTCTTTTGGTCACGCATCTAGAATATCCCAGCTTGGGGCCTCTTGTCTTGACGACATCCAGTTGGTTTGAGATAAGATGCTGGCAGACTAATTACGAGCCTGATGCCCTGTGCCTGCAGCCATAGACAACCATGAGGAACACTAGCCATGCTACAGCAGCTCCCTAGCAACTTGCAGAATGTTCTAGAACTGAAGCCTGGAGAAGAAGGCGAAAGGCTCTTCTGACCTGCCAGGTTCTACCCAGGATCCCGGAGAGGCTAAGCATGTTTCCTGGTTTCCCCCATCCCTCCAGCCTCAGGTCACAAATACATCCCAAGAGTTGGCTGAAAAGACGCTTCTCCCTTCCTACCACCACTGCCCCCGAGATAAGTCTTAGCTCCTGAGAGGGACTTGCTGTCTCCACCTCACCAAGCCCCCAGCCTAAGCAGGCCTCTGCTAATTCCTCGGGCGGTCAAGTCCTTGCCCCTCCATGGGAGTGTTGGGTCCAGCCACATCCTCCTTTAAGTCTCAATTCTCGCGGTCTCTGAGCAGCTCCACCAAAGGCTCCTGGAGGGTGCTGCCTTCCTCCTGGGGGCCAGGAGTCCCTCCTGCCACTCGGAGCTGCCCACAACCTTCTCTTCTCCTTCCCCATGGAAAGGGAAGGCGGAGACCCAGCCTTCAGGATTGTTCCTCCGAGCAGCACAGGAGTGGAGAAGCAGACCCAAGGGAGTCACACAATTTCACTCCCTGTTTTCTCTTAGCAGATGATCACCTTATGCAGATCCAGTGGCTAACTGCCCTGAGAAAAAGCCACTTCCTTGCTTCCCTGTTGTTTTTTTCCCAAAATTATTGTTCTTGGAAAATCTTCCCAACGGTAAAAGCAGAGAGGCTGGAAGAAGAGAGGACATGGATACTCAGGGCCCGACCCCGCAACTCCTGGGATCCTCATTCCCCCGCCGTTGGTTTCTGTTGCCACCAAGCCAACACTGAGATGCATCCCCTCCCCTGCAGATTCGATTGCCATCGCCTTTTGGGTGAGCCTGGCTGCTTTCGTGGTGCTCCTCTTCCTCATTTTGCTCTACATGTCCTGGTCGGGCTCCCCGCAGATGAGGTGAGTAAGAAGGAGTGTGGGTATGTGGGTAACTCACCTGCCCAAAGTCGTCCGGGTGAGTGTCCTTTATCCAAAATGCCCGGGACCAAAAATGTTTTCAGATTTTGAAATATCTGCATTATACTTACCAGCTGAGCATCTGAAAATACAAAATCCAAAAAGCTCTAAAGTGAGCACTCCCTTTGCATGTCATATCAGCACTCACAAACGTTTTGATTTTGACGGGGCGCGGGGGGTTCACGGCTGTAATCACAGCACTTTGGGAGGCTGAGGCAGGTGGATTGCTTGAGCTCAAGAGTTCAAGAACAGCTTCAACAACATAGCAGGACCTCGTCTCTACAAAAAAATAAAAAATTAGCTGGGTGTGGTAGTGCATGCCTGTAATCCCAGCTGCTTAGGAGGCTGAGACGGAAAGATTGCCTGAGCCCAAGAGATCAGGGCTGCAGTGAGCTGTGATTATGCCACTGCACCCCAGCCTAGGTGACAGAGTGAGACTCAGGCTCAAAAACAAAACAAAACTAAGTTTCAATTTTGGAACATTTCAGATTTTCGGATTTGGGATGCTCTACCCATACACCCATACTATGCAATCAATAGTATTCAGCAATAAAAAGAGATGAAGTTTTTGGTTCATGCTACAACTTGGACGAACTTCAAAACATTATGTTAAGCGAAGGCAGCCAGACACAGCAGGCTACGTATTGTGTGACTCCATTCACACAAAATGTCCAGAATAGGCAAATCCACAGAAAGCAGATTCGCAGCTGCCTAGGGCTGGGAGGAGGGCAGCAGTGGGGGAGTGATGGCTTGTGGGTTTCTTCTGGGGATGATAAAAATGTCTTAGTATGTCACAACAGAGTCATATATACTTAGCAGGTTTGGGAGGAAAGTGATACATATTTATGAGGGGAGCCCAGCACACGCAGTAAACATATACTGACCTAGGCCCATGTGCACTTTGAGGTGGGGTTTCAACCTTAAAATGAGGGGGGATTTGGCTGTGTCAAAAAGTGAACTTCAGGACACAGACTGTACACAGCCTCTCTAAGCTGGCTGAAACTGACTCGAGGTCTGCAGCTGTGCATCAGGAAAGAATGTAGGGTCAGTTGGTCCTCTGTCCAATCAGAGTTGTGGTGGCTTGGGTTATAGATCAGTTAGGAAGGGTCTGATGATTCACCTGGTAGCCCCTATTGTTTGGGAGTTCAGCAAGAGTGTGCTTCTCGTGTAGCTAATCCCTGAATCCATCACCCGAAGGTAACTTTTGTTTCCTTAACATTGGAATCTATCTTACTCCAGAAAGGGGCATCTGCTTTGGTCTCTCAGATCACAAGGCCCACGTGATCTGAGGAGGAACGTGTGTGGATGTGAGTATTTACAGTGTTTTAGTGCGTTTCCTGTACTATAACTGAATACCTGAGACTAGGTCATAGACAAGGGGGGATCCTCCCCAAAACCAAAAAAGCTTTTGCGGTACAGGTTTCCCTTGCCAGTTAAGTGTTCTGGGACCCATTGGCATCAGTGTAGTGTACTAGCTAGTGTTGTTGTGAGAGGCTGTATTTGGCTTCAGTGAGTTTTTTTTTTTTTTAAGATTTTCAATGCATTTGCCTATTTCATGATGTGTGATTTACAAGCACACCTACCCACACCAAGCTGGGTGTTCAGTTTTTGTTGAAAAACAGTATGACCCTCATGCCCTAACTTCCCAATTCACCCAATCTCAACCACCAGCAACTTTTCTTTTTGGTTCCCTGGATAAAAAAGTCCTCAAAGGGAAATGGTTCTGCCGATATGGAAGAGGCGAAACAGAAAACAACCCACAAACTAAAATTGGCAGAAACACTAAAAGGCAGGCCAGGCACAGTGGTTCACACCTATAACCCCAGCACTTTGGGAGGCCGAGGTGAGAGAACTGCCTAAGCTCATGGGTTCGAGACCAGCCCAGGCAACTTGGCGAGACCTCATCTCTATAATAAATCAAAAAATTAGCCGGGTGTGGTAGTGCATGCCTGTAGTTCCAGCTACTTGGAAGGCTGAGGCGGAAGGATCACCCGCACCCAGCAGGTTGAAGCTGCAGTGGCCGTGAGTGTGCCACTGCACTCTAGCCCTGGGCGACAGAGTGAGACTCCAACTCAAAAAAAAGAAAAAGAAACACTAAAAGGCATCAAAGTTGTAGTTCAAAAGCTGTTTTGAGCAGTGGAAAAAGCATCTTGATAGGTGTATTGCATCAAATGGAGAGTATCTTGAAGGTGACTGAAGCTTAAACATGTAGGCATGCACAACTTTTTATAAATAAATTCTGCGTTTTTTGGGGGGTCACCTCGTCTAAAGAAATAAGGTTTATTTAGCTCATGGTTCTGGAGGCTGGGAAGTCCAAGAAGCATGGTCCTGACATCTGCCAGGTTTCTGGTGAGGGCCTCATGCTGTCGGAAGAACTTATCCAACCCAGTCTCGAGACTGATGAATCCATTAACCTCATTACCTCTGAAAGTTCCCACCTCCCAACACTGCTGTTATGGTCTGAGTAGCTTGGCTGTTCTCCTTGATACCCATAAAACAAAGGGGCAGGGAACTGGTAGTAAGAAGCTTATTTCTGAGTTCGAACCCAGGGAGCAGAGCCGGACTTGAGGTCTTTCTAAAATGCTTCTGCTCACCCTCCAGGCTTTTACAGTTCACTGTTACAGTCCAGAGTTGTTAGTACCTATATATCAACCAAGTGACCAGTGGAGCATTGTACAGAACTTAAGTTACAGCTGCATTTTACATTTAGATAGTGACGTTTAGAGTAAAAAAAGTTTACAAGGCCTAAGACATCATGCATTGCAAAAGTTATGCAGCTCACAAGATTAACCATTACATTGATATTATATTGTTCACAGAAAGGGAGTAAATTGGGATTTACAGCTTTGGGTGTAGTCTGCTGTGAAGTCAAGAATCCCCTGAAACTACCTACTGGGAATGCAGAGGAGACATGGGGACTTTCAGAAATGGGCTTAGGAATGTGCAGGAATGCTTGAATCCCTGCCATGCACTTCTCTAGGGGCTGTGGCAATATGGAGGGACATTAGTGGGTCTCTGTATCACTGCTACATTGGGGACCAAGCCTCCACAGGAGTTTTGGTGGGGACAAACCACATTCCAAGCATAGTGCAGAGCCACCTCCAACGAGCCTCTGATCTCTCTACCACTCACGCTGCTCATGGTGTCTCACCTACTGGGTCTACACTCACCAGGTCATTTCTGCTCATCTTTGGTCACACGTGGGAGGCAGCAATAAGGAAATCTTTGCTTTTAGTTTCTAGAAGTCACATTGAACTTAAGCAGGCACTTACCCCAAGAGAAGGGTGACAAATAAAGCCACCTTTCCTTTCCACTCTTCTGAGGTGACCTGTACCAAGTCCTGTGCCAGGAACAGTTTACAAGGGTCATCAGTAACCCTCCTGGCGGTTACACAGGGTTCCCCATCTGGCAGGCACACAGGGGCCACTTCCACCAATTCCAGCTCCATGGATGGAACAGGCTTCCTGGACTACAATTTTACAGGGCAAATTGATGACATTATTCATCTGGACTCACTAAAAAAACGCTGTCCAGGCACTTTGGAACAGGCACAGAATGCTCAGGCCAACAAAGTGGTTCCTTAGAAAGATTTAGGTAAGAGAGGCACTCCCTGAGGCGTCAACCTTCCTATGAGGAAGGAAGACAGGGAGGAAGGGAAGGAAGAGGGGCAGGAAAGAGGTGGGAGGGAGGGATGAAGAGATGAGGACACATGTTAGGTCAGCACCATCTGAAAGAGGGCCTCCACCCCGGTGCCTGTCATTCACATCAGCTTTATACCCACATTTATTTATTTATTTATTTATTTTTTGAGTTGGAGTCTCACTCTGTTGCCCAGACTGGAGTGCAGTGGCCGCTCCTGGCCACCGCAGCCTCGACCTTCTGGGCTCCGGCGATCCTTCCACCTCAGCCTTCCGAATAGCTGCAACTACAGGCGCGTGCTGCCACGCCTGGCTAATTTTTTGATTTACTGTAGAGATGAGGTCTCACCAAGTTGCCCAGGTGGGTCTCGAACCTGTGGGCTCAGGCAATCCACTCACCTCAGCTTACCAAGGCGTGGGATTACAGGCTGAGCCACCAAGCCCGGCTTATACCCACATTTAAACTTGTCTTGCGCATCACTTCATTTCTTGGATGAAACTGAAGGCAGGTGGAAAACCATGGCTGGGGCTCACGTCAGGCAGCCTTGTCCCCTTCCCCCAGCCCTCTTGGGTAGGAGAAGTCATCCAGGGTGAACAGAGCTCTATGAGCTGTACTCAGACACGTGGCTGGGAGGTCAACCTGCCCCAGCAGTAAGTGAATATAGGAGGAGGCGACCTTGAGGAAAAGACCCGAGGCCCCATTCTGACAAAGCCCTTTCTCCTCCTCAGATTTCTCTAGAATGACCACACTTGTGAGCTGGGCTAACTCTCCCTGGGGGTTGGGTTTTAGGAACACAGGAGAGCATTCTCTGCAAGAAAGCATTCTCAGCAGGGAAAGGCCTTCAGCCAGCAACTTTGACACCCGCCTCCCCTTCTGCTCTGTCCACAGGAACAGTCCCAAGCACCACCAAACACGCACCTGGAGTCACAAACTCAGTCTCGCCTTCTGCATCCAGAGGCACCTGCGGCGCTACAGGGCTTCCTGGGGGACCCCACGGGCTCCACTGAGCTCAGGGGAGGTGCTAGGGGGCAGAGCCAGCCCTGATGGGCAGCAGCAGCAGGAGAGCCCTTCCGCCTCCTCCTCTGGACACTCCCAGGTCAACCCCACTCTCCTCTGGGAATCAGCCCTTGCTGGGGGTCCCCAAGGCATCAGCTGACATCCGGAACATGGCCAGGAAGCCTTCCCCTAAGACAGAACCTCTCAATTGCAGAACTGGTGCCAGTAAATTAGGGCTGGAGCTGAGTGAACTGGTGACATCTAAGCAACCTGGCCCCGCCCGCTGTCTTTCTAGAGGTGGTCTGGGGCAGCAGGAAGTGCGGGCAGGTCTCAACCTGTGCCTTTGACAAAGGCCTGCAAGTGGCCCCTCTAGCATAGAAAAGTTGTTCCTGGGTCTTGCTGATGTAATTTATTTAGCATACTCAACCTGCTTGCTTAGGGTTTATGTCCACTTTGGGACAGATAGGAAAAATAAAGTATGTGTGAATTGAGAGAGAAAATGTTTATTTGCTAATCCTTACAGTCTCTTCACTATGGCTTCTGGGATGCTTTATCACCACATGTTCACCTGGCCCATCTGCACCTTGGTTAGGGTGCTGGGGAAGGCCTGCAAGGTTTCCATCAACCCTCCATTGACACCTACTGTTCACCCAGAGGTGGCAGTCAAGGGACCTGAGTCACACCCCTAACCTCCCCACAACCATTCAGAGGCAGAGTCCCAGGAAGTGTCTCCCCTGGAGGACTGTCAGCCAACACCTGTCAGCAGCCTCCTGGCAGGTAGAGCCTACACCCAACGGCTGTCGCAGAACATGAACTCTTGAAGCCAGCAGGAAGGGCCCCATTCTGAATGTAACTTTATGTGACTGTGGATCTGAGATTCCTAAAGGGTCTAGTCCTCCACTACCAGCAGCATTGTCCCTGGGGTAAGACAGCATCATACGACAGTCCAGAAAACCCACACACGCCACCGACAGCTTTCAGGCAGGGAGGGAGTTGGTGGGTTTTATTTTTCCTCCCCAACTTTTTTTTTGAGCTACAGCAATTACAGTATTTCTACCTTAGTGTTCTGTATTTTAAGTCTGGGTGAAGATCCTATACAATCTATTCTCCACAGGTGAGACTTTCTCCTCCCACCCCAGGTGACAGGAGGTAACCGTTTGTGCTATTTAAACAATAAGTCCTATTTGTGGTAAAGGGACTGAGTGCAGACAAACATTACTCTTGTCTTGGTTAAAACCTTATGTCGGCCAGGTGCAGTGGCTCAAGCCTATAATCCCAGCACTTTGGGAAACCGAGGCAAGAGGATTGCCTGAGCCCGTGGGTTTGAGACCAGTCTGGGCAACATGGTGAGAACTTATCACTACAGTAAATAAAAAAATTAGCTGGATGTGGCAGTGCGTGCCTGTAGTTCTGGCTACTTGGAAGGCTGAGACAGAAGGATTGCCTGAGCCCACCAGGTTGAGGCTGAGGTGGCCAGGAACTGCCACTGTACTCCAGCCTGTGCGACAGAGTGAGATTCCAACTCAAAAAACAAAAAATAAAAAACCTTAAGTCACCTAAAACAAACAGAAAAGATTCTAATGAACACTGGTGGGATATAAATGTATGAATGCTTAAGACAGGGGTCCCCAACCCATAGCCCACAGACCAGTACTGGTCCATGGCCTGTTAGGAACCAGGCCACACAGCAGGTGAGCAGTGTGTGAACAAGTGACACTTTATCTGTATTTACAGCTGCTCCCCATTGCTTGCCGCCTGAGCTCTGACTCCTGTCAGACCTGAGGCAGCATTAGATTCTCATACGAGCACCAACCCTATTGTGAACTGTGCATGTGAGGGATCTAGGCTGCATGTTCATCAGATCAGAAGTGGCATCAGATTTTCCTAAGAGCCTGAACCCTACTGTGAACTGCACTTGCGAGGGATCTAGGTTGCACGCTCCAAATGAGAATCTAACACCTGATGATTTGAGGTGGAGATGAGGTGGTGATGCTAGTGCTGAGGAGTGGCTGCAAATACAGCAGTGAGGTTGAACATCAGCAGCGAGGTTTGACTGCACAATGCCCCACCCCATCCCCCAGCATCCCATCCATGGAAAAATTGTCTTTCATGAAACCAGTCCCTGATGCCAAAAAAGGTTGGGGACTGCTGGCTTAAGATAGAAACAAGCCATTCTTAGTGCTATGTATATTACATTGGCAAATAAAACAGCTACACTCCAGGTAACAGAGCAGATCCTGGGACCCCATGTTGTGCAGAAGGATTTTTAATGAAAACAGGCTAGAATTTCATATGTGAAAACCATGAAAATTTCATATTGACTTTTTTATAAGCTACAACACCAACTAATTTTTGAACCTTAAAAGTCAAATTCTGACCTACACTGTGGAATAAAAATAGCCTGTTAACATGAATTAAAATAAAAGACAAAAACCTTACAAAAGTAAACATTTATTTTAAAAAGATTACAAAATTCAAAACCCCCTCTTTGAAACATTTTAAAAAAGTAGGTTATCTTCCCAGAGCAGAGGTCAAATAATCTTTATACTTTAAGGATTTAGTGTAACATTTTTTATTTTATAGAATAATTAACAAACACTAGCAGACTAATTTTAAAAGCCATAATTAAACACCATTACAACCTTTCATAGGAAAACAAAAACTTTACATCTCTCTTCACACTCATCACAAAATATCTGCCATATCTTTTGACACTTCAGCTTTGATGTCCACAAGTCCCCTTCATATTCGTGAGTGTCAGCTCTCCTTGAGCTCTATTTCCTTGAAAGAATGACAAGGCCCCAGAGAGGAAGGGACTCACCTAACTGAAGGCTTGATGATGAGCCTTGTGGCCTGGAAGTCCCCTTGCTTACTGCGACTCTGATGACTTGGTATACATAGACCCCTGCATTTATTATTTACTGGACAAATAGAGTCCTCTCAGCTTTCCTTGTCAGAGAACTGAGCCGATGTACTGAGCCTGTCATTTCACATGCCTTCACTGGAAACGCTCAACTCAACCAAACTTCTAGAACTGGTGCTGGAGGCACTGGTCATCAGGCTGGGAGGAGTCCAGCATCTGAGGCTGTGGTGGCGACGTCCTTGCAGAGTGCAGCGATGGCCTCCTCTTTACCACTTGGTGTACTGTCTGCAGCCTCACAGACCATTTGGACATGGGCTAAGAGGGTGTCTGGCTGCTGAGCTCCCAGCCAGATGTCCTTAATGTAGAGAGACACCAGGAACGCTGCAGAGGCTGAGGAAGAGTCGCCCACACAACACCCATTAGAATGCATACTCACTCAGTAGAAAGCAAGTCATTCTGCCCACAACTCACAGCAGCTTTGCTGCACCCCCAGATGAACTGTGTTCCCAGCCTGTGCAACCTAGGGTGAGCAGGCAGGTAAAAAAACTAATTCTGCCTTTGCTTAACTTTTGTGTTAACCTTTCTTGCTCATTTTAAGCTTCACCTTTCTTCTGATGTTTGTGTAATGATATCCCCCCAAGAGTTGCTGTAAGACAAGTCTTTTCTGGTTCTGACCACCCACACCAAGACCCAGCCTAAAGTCTGAGAAATTCCCAGAATCATTTCATATCATTTCCTCAATGGCAAAGGGCAGAGAAAGTTTTACAGTAAAAAAGACTCAATTTCCTGACTGTGGTCGGATGAGAGGAAGAGGTAACCCCAGCTACCGGGTGAGTCACCTGTCTAGCTGCTGGCTCCTCCTCTCCCCATTCCAATATGTCCCTTGTGAAAAAACAGTTCTCCTGGATGGAGACCATAGTGGCCTCCCTCGAGTTCTCCCATGGATGTCTAAAGCCTATGTTATTCACTCACTCACGTTAAGCCCCTGCTAAATGCCAAGACCATACTTGTACATGTATAATTGCGTGCTGGTACAGAGAGGTGTACATATGGGTGTGAACACACACCTGGCCATGATGTGAGACAAAATTCTTCACTGGGTAATATTCTGCAGAGTGGAAGAGACCCTGGGAGCACTAGGGTTCTGAGGGGCTTTTCTCCATGGGCAACACGATCACCCAAAAAGCTAAGACAAAGGCTTCCTTCCCTTTATTCCAATGTCAAATGGCAAGCTCTCTGCAACCCTAGTGTGGCAAGGGGCCACCTAAATACTTAATCACCGTACCAAGCTGAGGAATTTTCTAGAAGAAATCTAATGGGCTCTAAGAACAGAAGTTAGTCCCACCCTCCCAAGCCCATTCATGCATTGCTTGTCTCTGTCTCCAACCAAAGAACCAAACTTACCTCGCGTGGCTTCATCCTTCTCACTCAGAGAAGAAAGGCAGAGCGCTTCCACTGCCTGGTGGAGGGGGCTCCCTGCCCAACCCTGGGCAGCCAGCAGCTGCAGCATGACCGTGTTGAACAGGCAGGCCACACCCTGCGAGGGCCCTGACAGTCTCTCGGCACCACAGAGTTGGCTATACAGCTTAAATATGCTGCTCCTCACGGCACTGTCCTTAAGAAGGTCAGCCACGACTACTGGGTATGGCAAAATGTGGCTTTTAAGCCAGCCAAGGAGTCCTGCAGCCTCTGTCCTGCTAAGCAGACACTCAGCTACTGACCGCAGCACCCAGCTGACTGTCAGGGAAGCGGCTGCACATACAGGGCCTGGCGCATCACTCTCAGAGCTGGCAGAGTCTGTGGACTTCTGAGAGGACTCAGGGCTGGGGAACACTGGCCCCCAGTGGGTCAGTATGGACCTCAGGAGGCCCCTGCATGCCTCCAAGGTAGAAGCCTCTAGCTCAGGGTCAGCCATCATCTCCGCTTCCCCAGGCCTCCTCTTTCGGTTCCGTGGGCCTTTGGCTCGGGGTGGCATGAAAGGCTTGTTCTTATCCTTGAGCATTTCTGTTAAACACACAGAAAAGGGCAGTGAGACTGGTGTCCTTCCGCCCACACAGATCCAGATGGGAGGAAAAGAGAGAGGAAGGGGGATGGCGTACATGTTCTGAGCACTTGGCCCTGCTCCCACACTAGGGAGTCTTGGAAGTGCTTGATAGTTCACTGTGGCTGTTATCACTGCTACTGGAATGAAATCTTTAATCCTCACAGCAACATGTGACAGGTACCATGTCGTCCTCATTTACATAAGAGGCACCAGGGCAGCGTCACATCTGAAATCCAGGAGGCCTGGCTCCACCAGCCTGTTCCGTGACCCCACAGTATAGGCCAAGTAGCTCTTAGCCAGCCCCTGCCCTCTTCACAGGTGAGTACCTTGATGTCAGGTAGGGGAAGCAACTTATCCAGAGGAGAAAGCTACTGAGGGGGAAGGCTGGAACTCAAGGCCAGCTCTCTCCTGCTCCCTCCCTAGGGTCATCTCTGAGCCTCATCGGCTCTGGAAATGCTTCTGAGAGAGAGAGAGAGAGAGAGAGAGAGATGCAGGCTGGCTGGTCTGGAGAGTCACGGGCTTTGACACTCACTTATTAGCTCCTTGGCCTGGCATTTCTCAATGGCTGCTGTCAGATCTTCTTGGAGTCTGAGGTCTCTTTCAATGAGGCTCCATTTATGCAAGAGGACAAGGACGTCCTTGGTGGAAAGCACTGTCTCATTCACAGTGAATCGGTCCATGTCCTTGAAGGCCTGTATGACGGTGGCCCGGTATCTCAGCACAGAGTCAAGTGTCTTGAAGAAGGCAATCAGCTGGGCAGAGGCCAAGGTGGGCCTGTTTGGGAGCCAATGTTACAGACAGAGCAAAAGCTGTTTCCTCTGCCCCCGTCCTGGCAGCCAGGACTGGGGTGGCTTGTGACATCACACGTTTATCCGGGGACAAATGGTCCATCCAGGAACCAGGTTTCCCTCTACAACTTTTAGTGTATGTCCCCAGGAAAGAGGATAGAAAAAAGTGAGCCACTCCAGGGAGACTGAAAGGGAGACCCAGAATCTGGCCTCTACCCTGGAGGCACAGAAATCTCTTTGGAAACCTTGGCTAAAGAGGGTAGCCAAGCAGCTAAAGTGTAAGAGCCAGGGTGCCCAAAGCCTAAGTCCCATCTAGGACTGCCGATTCTTCTCTGTCTCACACATGACCAGTCTGGAGTGGAGAGGCCCCAGAAGGCTCTGGGACAGTGTCACCACTCAACCTGACTGACGTCAATCTGACTGACGGCCACAAAGGAGAAATAGGTCTCTCTGAGCTCCAAGAAATTTAAGTCTACTAACACCTGTTCCACATAATCTTAAAAATAATATCATTATTTCAAATAGCAGTCAGTTCTCAGACACCATGTGTCTTCTGACAAGCCCAAAATAAAAACACGATTATCTAGTATTAGCCTAACAATTTAATTTAGAACAATATAAAACAAAATGCCCTGTTCTTTATCAAGAAATTTTCATTTGGAAACCCTGTCTTAGGTCAGGGCCACAGAAAAGATGTTGCTTCTGTGAAACACCATTTTATCTGAGTGTTTAAATTAAAACATCAAGGTAGATGGTTTGCCTGCTAAAAATCACCTACTATGATGCCTTTTAGGTGGTTTTTTTTTGAGTTAGAGTCTTACTCTGTAGCCCTTACAGGTATGCAGTGGCACAATCACAGCTCATGGTATATTCAACCTCCTAGGCTCGTGAGATCCTTCCACCTCAGCTTCCTGAGTTTATTTTTTTGTAGAGATGAGGTCTCGCTATGCTACCCAGGCTGGTCTTGAACTCCTGAGCTATCCTCTTGTCTTGGCCTCCCCAAAGTGCTGGGATTACAGGCTTGAGTCACTGCACCCAGCTGCATTTTAGTTTGTTAAAAGTATGTTCTCATGACCCTAACAAGAAGCTTTATAAAAAGTTGAAGAGGAAACTCCCTGGATGGAGTAAAAAGAAATTGTCTTGGATGGCACATAAATTATATATGTTCTAGATGTTCTGACACCACCTCACCTGACAATCTATACCAGGCCATGGCCCAGAGCATACCTGGTCCATCTACGTACGTGTCTAAGGTGTGATGTCTACAGGTAACAGGTAAAACAGTATCAAATAGGCATATCAAGGAGCCACCTTTCATGAGGAGAGAACTCACCTCAGGTGCTTCATGAGTACGACAAGAACATAGAAGAATTCGTTGACCAAGTGCAGGGCAAGCAGCTTGGGGGGCTCCTGGGAGCCAGGCTGGCAAGGAGACTGGCTCTCCCGCTCCACGCCCTTGTCCCCCAGGTTGGTCAACCACAGTGTGTGCAGCAAGGAGATCACTTTAGACAGCAGTGGAGTCTCCAAAAATCTGGAACCAAACACAGCAGCTTTTAATTTGCCACCTCCTCTCTTTCTAGTGAGACAGACTGTCACAGGTGGGTTGGGTGGGAACCTTGGACAGAACGTGGAGGTGGCGGCAGTGCTGAGCCCCCCTCCATATGGGGAGAGCCCCCTCCATAATCCTCATCGTCCCAAAAGCTCATCCTCCAAGTAAAAACAGGGTATCTTCTATACAAATGTAGCTTCAACACAGGACGAGACCCCCAACTTCCTGACCAGATGATTACCCTAAGTCTCTCCAGCAATTCCGCAGCCAATATAGTACATTACAAGCAGTCCTGTTCACAACAACTCAATTTCTAAAACACCAAGTTATCCACCAGGAACAGGTAAGTAGCCAATTATGCCTTTCATAAATCTGAAACAGTCTTGAACTTGATGTCTAAAACTTGTTGTTTGTAGCTGAGCTTGAACGTATTACTTTCTTTTAGAGAAATTTCAGAAAATACTTTAACAAAGTGCATAAAAGGGCGTCCATACTCTCAGGTTTATAACAGTGGCGAGTTC